CAGTTTCCTTTCAGGTTTTTTCCTGGAAGAGTGCTGTTGCACTCATGTCCCGCTGGTGGGCTTCCCGCAGACATATGATTAGCCACTGTGGGAATAGAAAGCTGGACAAGACGGGCCTTTGGCCTGAGCCGGAACGACTTTCCTTATGGTCTTATGGGAAAGCAGAGAAGATTTGCATTGTCTTTGTAATATTTGCTTTATCTATTAATATATATACAGGAAAGCATGAGGGGGGAGCACCCAGGAACTTCTACAACAGGCAGCAGATTCACTGATTCCTACACTGAATTCCCAGAGAACTTAAGCAGCCTACCCAAGGCTGCCCACCATCCATTTTCCACTAGAAACTCTCAGCTCTCACCTTGTCTGCCTCTTTCAGTCCCTTTCCTTTCAACTGCTAAATTGCTTTTTCACACACACTGTCTGAAGACACCACCCCTGCAGATGAATTGCCAGTTCAAGGAAACATCCACAGCCATTAGAATAATATTCTTGGGTCTTGTGCCATATCCCTGACTCACATTAAGTGACACTGTATTTATATGAAGCCATAGTAATACTAATCAGGTGGCCAAATTCAAAACAATACAGTAAGCAGGTTTGTATAGACAATCCCAGGAGTTAGTTGAGAAGAGCAGAGTACAGGCAGGCCCTCCCCCTTTATGCATGTTCAATATGTGTGCAACCATGTATATGTGCATTGTGCCAAACCCAGAAATGTCATAAAGATGTCACTGAAATGTCACTAAAAGGGTGGGGCAGAGTGTTCTTCAATGGGTTTCAATTACGGTCGTACCTCAGAAGTCGAACACCTTGCAAAACAAACGTTTTGGCTCCAGAACACCGCAAACCTGGAAGTGATTGTTCCAGTTTGCAAATGTTCTTTGGAACCCAAAAGTCCGTTGCTGCTTCCACAGCTTTCGATTGGCTACAGGAGTTTCCTGCAGCCAATCGGAAGCCACGCCTTGGTTCCCGAACGTTTTGGAAGTTGAACAGACTTCCGGAATGGATTCTGTTCGACTTCCAGGGTACAATTGTATACGCGATTTCACTGACATGCACAGTGCCTCGGAATGTAACCATTTACATTTACATTTGAGGAATGACAGTACAATCCCTTCCCCACATCAATATCAAGATCTGCTCAAGGCATTTGGCTCCCTGAGATGGAGTAGCAAATGAGGCCCTTTGAACCCCCTTCTGAAAGTCAAAGTTTATAGTGCCCCCACTTGGCACCATCATTACATATCTCTATATATCTTTAGGTGCAAGGCAAAAGCTTTCCTCTATAACCAAGCCTGGGGCGATTAACCATTTGTGGCCTTTTAGAAGTAGGTGGGATAGTTTGAATGTATGCCTCCCTTGGTTTTAGTGTCTCTATTGGGGGGCAGCGTTGGTTGATGGGTTGGTTGTAAGTTGCTTCAGGTTGCCTTGGGCAAGATAAAGCAACTAACAAATGTAATACTGTAAATAATAATAATACCCAAGACCAACCAAGTTAGTTTGGAACTTGAGGCAGAAAATTCCATAACTACCTCTCTCCTTCCATTGCAGTAAAAATTCAATGATAGCCACTTAAATAACCATCCCTTTCCTGCCCTTTCATGACCCTCAGTATCCAGGACCCTGCCTGACTCTCCCTCGTGTTTGGGGCAGCCCAGAGACAAGTACATACTCTTTCAAGAACCTTTCCATGCTGTTGTTTTCTTTCAAGAATGTTTGCTTCATGGTTATCCCCTTCAGCGCAAAAGCAAAATGAGGAAATAAGAAATATTGATATAATGATTGTTTTCCAGAAGGCAGGATTCTGGCATGCAGGTATATGAAAGATGCCTCTGCAAAAATTCTCTCTGCCACAAAATTACAAAATGGCATAGAAATGATGCTCTCCAAATGTGAATAAATCCTTAGTTGATAATCATTCAGCTAAGGACTTGGGCCTAGTCTTGTAAGAAAAGGGCAAAAGCTCAACGGTAACTCAGCCGCTCGCTGTTGTTTGTCCCTCAGTCTCCTTATTCCCTTTCAGCTGCCTTACCTTAAAATAACTGGGAAGTTGCCTCTCTCATAATAGTTTCCTCTTTTATAATTTCTGTAACAAATATACAATTCACTCTGGGCAGAAAGCAACTATCCTTCTCCATCCCCTAACTCTCACAAGTTCTTACTGCAGTCCTGGAAGACCCTTGTTCCTCTCCAATACTTGCCACTCGAACACCCAAGCTCATTTATGAATGAAAATTATATCCCACCCTGAGTCTTTCCTTTGCTTCCTCATGCCTGGGGGACCTCGCTTTCTCCCTCTTCTTCCTTTTCCTTTTCTATTGTTCTGTCCCACTTGGAACGTGGTTTTACATGTTTTATAATTGCACTGGTTTTATTTTTACCATTACAATCCTAATCCTTGGACCTTATCATGGGTAAGAAGTCTTATAAATAAACAAAGGACTTTCCCATGCCTTTCCATGTTCCTGTCATCCAGAATACTAGCTTAAAATGGAAAATTATTAAGGAATCACAAGTGCTAAATGTTAGATATAAGCCAAGCAAGGGTTGCCTCAAACTCTAGTTCCATGGGTGGCATAAACAGGACGCCATGTTGGTTGCCACGCCCTACAGTTACCCCAGCTGATTTCTGTCTATTGCATGATTGTCAAAGGTGCAGAAACAGCCCAGGCTGGGTTTTTTTTTGGGTCAACTGGCAAGTATTAAAGAGTACAATCAAAAAGAGGAAATTCAGCAGTTAAAGTGCACACAAGCCCTCTAAATCTCCTTTTCCACCCCCGAAAGCTCTACTGTGCTTTCAAAAGCTACCCTTCAGAAATCCAGCTGGTGTTCACCAGAGATGTCTCCCTCTTCATGTCTCTCAAACTATTTTTTTACTCATCCTGTGATTTCTTCTCCCAGTGATTTCTTCCACACCTAATTTCTAAATACCATGGCCTAATTAAACTGTAAACTTTTCCTGGCTTAGGCCTGGTTTGTGAGGACAGTACTCTCTCATTGCCTTCACCCCATAAAAAAGCCATTCTATGTCCCTCACACAGGTCAGTGTGGTTATAGGGCAGGGGTGGATAAACACATTTCCAGGACCACTTCGGTTTTCCACTGACACGCTGCAGAGTATCTGCAATGAGCTTTTAATTTCAGAATGAAAGTATTTTCTTAAAACACTTTTCATGGGCAAAATGTATGCAGTAGATCTAGATATATAGCTACAGTGGTGCCTCGCAAGACGAAATTAATCCGTTCCGCGAGTCTCTTCGTCTTGCGGTTTTTTCGTCTTGCGAAGCACGGCTTAGCGGCTATTAACGGCTTAGCGGCTATTAACGGCTTAGCGGCTATTAACAGCTTAGCGGCTTTAAGAAAAAGGAAACAAACTCGCAAGAACTCGCAAGACGTTTCGTCTTGCGAAGCAAGCCCATAGGGAAATTCGTCTTGCGGAACGACTCAAAAAACGGAAAACCCTTTTGTCTAGCGAGTTTTTCGTCTTGCGAAGCATTCGTCTTGTGGGGCACCACTGTATGTAGAAAAAACAATTAGTCTTCATTGATTCTAGAATGAGATACTGAGTGGACATAGTCCATTCTATTTTACCCCTTAAATGTAAACCTTGGTTCCTGGTTTGTTTTGCTCCAAAGAAACCATGAGCTGTAACTAAGGGTTGATCTTGCTCAACTGCTCATGCTGTATTTGGGGAAGCAGCCCATGGCCCTGTGTCCACATGCAACAGTGAAGCCATGGCTTAGATTTAGGTAGCACAGCAGCTGCAAGACCAGGAGAGGAGTGAAATAGCCATAATAAAACAGCTGCACCTCTTGGGTTATTCCAGCCTATCACAACCTGGTGCCCTGAGGGGCGATGGCTGTCCAAAACATTTGGCAAAGGTTGGTTTTTCTGCTCCTGCTTTCCCAGACACAGCCACTACTTTGAATCACTATAGAGGTAAAGGTAAAGGATCCCAAGTCCAGTCAAAGGTGACTATGGGGTTGTGATGCTCATTTTGCTTTCAGGCCAAGGGAGCTGGTGTTTGTCCACAGACAGCTTTCCAGGTCATGTGGCCACAGGACTAAACCACTTCTGGCACAACGGAACACCGTGATGGAAGCCAGAGCACACGGAAACGCCGTTTACCTTCCTGCAGCAGTGGTACCTATTTATCTACCTGCACTGGCATGCTTTTGAACTGCTAGGTTGGCAGGAGCTGGGATAGAGCAACTTACACTGACAGCGCCTTTTTATGGACTAAGTGCAGACTGGAGTGCTTTACACATTTTCATCACAGATTTGTAGTGCTGGAAGGGAACTTAAGGATCATTTACAGTCCAACCCCCTGCAATGCAGGAATGTGCAGCAGTCCCATAGGGGATCGAACCTGCAACCGGTGTCATCAGCACTAAGCTCTAACCAACTGAGCTATCCAGGCTCTTCCAGCACCTACAACAAACTGATGGTAATAAGAAACCTGCTGCTCAGTCCTTTGCCCATTTAGGTAGAAGTCCCACTTCATTCGAGCCTCAAATAAACCAGGGCAGTGTTGTAGCTGTAAAGCTTACACAATGCTTTCTTGAGCGAGTCCTACCTTGACCTGTTCTCAGTAACTTGGAGCAAAACCATTCATGGCGCCAAGAGCTTTGCCTGCGCAACATTTCCAAAGGAAGCAACGTCACTGCTAAGGGCGCGATCCTACATAGAGTGAGATGGGAGTTTACCCCTCTCGACGCAGTGGAAGGGGACTTCCTCCAGACTAAACCTGCACAGCAGTCACGGTAGCGGCACGGGAGGAGGAAGCAAGCGATGCATGCAGCTGTGTAACCCCCCCTCCCCCACACGAAAGCAAGCTGAAGGAGAAGATCTCCTTGCACCGTTGCAAAGCGCAGCAAATAGCAACGAGCTGCTGGACTTGCAGCCGATCCTCTATGTTTCCTAAGATGTAACTCCCCCCCCCCGGGTTCAATGGCACTCCCCTCCCTCCAGGTTGCAGCGTGGATCAACGGGTTTATTTTGTAAAAGACACGAGCTTTGTGTCACACAGCAGACTATTCCCAAGAAGATCTAAACCAAAGAGCGCCCGGCAGCAGCACAGGCCACAGCGCGTCAAAGAAGCCATGCGCTGCGCGCGGGGCAGAGACCCCTCCCCACCCTGTAGGTTAGAAACGGTGCCTTCTTCTGGCCGCGAGGCACCCTGCTGCTGCCTTCCCTAACCCTGCGGAGGCCAGCCTGACCCCACCCCTCACCGCTTATGGAGGGGAAGGAGGGAGGGAGGGCAAGGAACGAGGCTGATGTCACCAGCAGGTCTTTATAAGGGGGCTCCTTTTAAGAACGGTACATTTTGACGGCAGCTGATCCGGTGCAGGAGTCGCTGGTTAAAAAGGAAAAGCAAAGGCAGCCTGCGTTCCAAAGGGGAAATGCAGCCTTTACATAGCTGCCAGCATGTCAGACCGTTTAAACAAAGAAAGAGTTTTGGTAAGTTGTTGCAGACGGAGCCTTTTACTAACCGACCAGACTCCAATCCGGCTGCACATTTATTTGGAAATAAGATCAATTGGAATAATGTTGGGGATGGCACGGTGGGCTCTAGGAGCAGGGTGAAGTCTAGGTGTATCAAGCCTATGGAATTCCAGCTACTGGTTTGGACTAGGCTACAGATTGCACTCAAAAGCCTGTTGATTGCAATGACATATGCTTCCGAGTGTGTTCAAGGTTGGGCATGCAGAAATACAGACAATTGATCCTTGCTTTTCTTCTGCACAGCAACCCGAGTTGAAGAAGTTGCAGGCATACGAGGAAAGTTCCCAACAAAAGTCCCAGTAAGTATCTATTCTGTTTCCTTTTCCTTTGCCGATTACTGATAATTGCACATTTTCAAATTATCGAGGATTCTGTGCTTATTTAGTCACTAGCAAGTCACATTGGCATCAATGGATCTTCCTGCCCAGGAAGTGTGCTTAGAATTGCCGTCCTAGTTCTTGGGTACTATTGTGCAGCATGCTCTATTGCTACTTCGCTTTAAAATCTGTTTCCTTCTTTCTTAAAAACAGGTTATTGTTGAAAGGTACCAGAAAGAAAAGTACCTTCCCCTGCTAGACAAAACCAAGTTTCTTGTGCCTCAGGAGCTGACCATGACTCAGTTTATAACTATCATCAGGTATGTAGCAAGGTCTTGATAGGCTTCTAATTTTGTTGACTCTCCCTGCTCCTCTGCCTGCTTCTTTTGCTAATCTATTTTTGCAGCAAGACTTCTGAAATAACTTGGAAACTATGTGATAATATGTACTATATTACTCAGCACATTTCTGTGATTTTTCCCCTCCATGCTTTGATGGGACTCAGATCATTTGAGTTCTCTTGCAAATGATTCCTTCTTGTTTGCACAAGGCTGTGGTAAGAAATCTGTTAGATTAATGTCATCTTTCCTACTGCCCGCTCCCCCTTGCGCGCGCACACACACATACACAAAATTTTGAGATATATTCTCAGTGTTTGTATCAATGGTGATTAAAACACACACACAAGAAGAAGAAGAAGAAGCTTGTAGTTCCCAGATTTTAAAAATAAGAAAATCTTTTAGCAAGGCTTCGGATTATTTATTCTAAACCCAGATCTGCTGATGAAACCTCTTGGAGACCAGGTTCCAAAGTCTTCTGCTAGTATTTGGGGGGGAAACTGATTACTTGTGACATATTGCAAGGTAAAGGTAAAGGGACCCCTGACCATTAGGTCCAGTTGTGACTGGGGTTGCGACACTCATCTCACTTTATTGGCCGAGGGAGCTGGTGTACAGCTTCCGGGACATGTGGCCAGCATGACTAAGCCGCTTCTGGCGAACCAGAGCAGCACACAGAAATGCCGTTTACCTTCCCGCCGGAGCGGTACCTATTTATCTACTTGCACTTTTGACGTGCTTTCAAACTGCTAGGTTGGCAGGAGCAGGGACCGAGCAACGGGAGCTCACCCCGTCGTGGGGATTCAAACCGCCAACCTTCTGGTCGGCAAGCCCTAGGCTCTGTGGTTTAACCCACAGCGCCACCTGTGTCCCTTAGACATATTGCAAGCTGCTTTTAAATCCTCTCCAGTTTCGAGAACTGTTTGTTATAAGGGGGGGGGGACAGTTCAAGAACCATAATTACGGCACACAGAATTATTTGTGTAGTGCATGTCTCTGTTTCATCTGAGTCATAGTATTCCAAGCCTTCTCTGTCTGTAACCCTTCTGTCTTGGGGATATAAGGAGCCTGCTATAGGAAACACTCCTAGGGCTGTGGGGGTTTCGGCCCCCACAATAAAATATTTGAAAGGGATTGGGGGGCCCCAAGTTGATGGCCATTTTTATTCAAATGGTGAGTGTGTATGTGGGCACTGTATCATGTGATCAATTATGCAGGGCAGGGCTTACCTGGCCCCCCACAGTATTTTATTCAAGTTGGCACCCCTGGAGCCTGCATTAGGAAGTCTAGCTAATTAAGGTTAGCAGCAGTTGTCCAGGGCCACAGACTGCCCTCCCCAGCCCTCGCTGCACAATATCATTTTTCCTGAGATGCTTTTGGCTCAAACCCAGACTGCGTCACATTCAGCCCTTTTTACTCTGCTGTTTTGGAGCTTTTAGAGGTCCTTGGAGAGCTTCAGACAGGAGGCAGCAGTCTGTAAATTTTGTGAGAGAGACCCAGCGCAGATGTGACTCATGCTTTCTAACTACTTGCGCATTACAAAGATCGTGGGCATTCTATAGCTGCACCTTTCCAGCTTGTTTCAGAATCCAAGTGGAGAAAAGTAACGTCAGACGTGGCCCTGAGCTACACAGCCTCTCTGAAGTCAGCTTAGGAAATGTGCTACGTTTCAGCAATCTGCCCTTGGTCCTAAGCAAGCGGTCTGACCTCTCTGACTGATACAGTTGTTTGCCTTCTCAGTTCACAACCTTTCCAAGGTGGAGTGAAATACAGAGCAGAGTACTAGGATTTTTCTAGGATTTATCTTGTAGGATAGCTTTCCTATCCTACAATTCCTATCCTACAATATGTCAGTAGTAGCTTGTTTGCATGTAATTTGTTACTGTACATTCTTAATAGTAGCTGATGAAGTTGGCACGTATCCAGTATTCTGCCCCCCAGGAAACATTCCACTCACTGGCTTCTTTGTGGAAAATTAGTGTGTTAAACTTTTCTGCAATGCTTTTTTTTTGGCCGGGGGGGGGGGGGGGGAGAGGAAGCAGAGCAGCATCTGCTGGTTTCCCTAAAAACTGCATTTTTAAAAAAAGACTAAATGTGTGTGTTTATAACACCCCCATCGTTCTACCCGGACACTGAGGTCCAGCACTGAGGGCCTTCTGGCGGTTCCCTCACTGCGAGAAGCCAAGTTACAGGGAACCAGGCAGAGGGCCTTCTCGGTAGTGGCGCCCTCCCTGTGGAATGCCCTCCCACCAGATGTCAAACAGAACAACAACTACCAGACTTTTAGAAGACATCTGAAGGCAGCCCTGTTTAGGGAAGCTTTTAATGTTTGATGTATTACAGTATTTTAATATTTTTTGGGAAGCCGCCCAGAGTGGCTGGGGAAGCCCAGCCAGATGGGTGGGGTATAAATAATAAATTATTATTTATTATTATTATTATAAAAGATATTTGTTTGTTTCAGTTAGACAGTGGGGAAGGAGTAACTTTGCACTACTCTGCTACCACCTAGAAATGTCTCCTTTTTTCTGGTGTGTTCCTCTTGGAAGGCTAGGAATTGTCATAACTTTAGGTATTCCCTTTACCACCTAAACCTTTCTTCTGCTGATCTAGCTGTAGGATATAGATAATCTGTATAAGTATTTGGGTCTGACACTTCTATAAACCTCTGGAAACCAGCTAACTGTCCTACTACCAATAAGCCTAGGTTCAATTACTTGCTTAAACTATGAATCTTGGAACCATTTCACAAATCAGCCCTGTTCAGATGCTACTATCCCAGTCCAATAAATAATCATTGTACCTGCCTGTTATCCCCTTCTCTTTCCCTCATGTACCATAATTAAACCATAATTAAAAAGCTTTTAGGGGTTTTTATACCAAAGTTTCCTGTTGTATTCAAAGTGAGAAACTGTGGCTTTAATCTTATAAACCAGAATTAGCTCTGGTTCCATACTACGGTTTATAATCTGACATAGCTTGGATGTAACTAGAAACTGTGCTTTAACAAACACTGAAATCTGTCTAACAGCAGTGCAAGAGAGAATGGATATATAAAAGGGAAGAAGAAGTGCCTGCACATTCCAGTAAACCATGGTTTATTAGACAAATATAATTCTTTGCTTCTTGGGGGATGGGATACAAATTTATTAAACTTCATGTTTGCACCAGTGTTATGTGCACTAAACATTCAAGCTAAACTGCTGACAAAATGTAAAGATCAGGAGTTACAGTAACCAAAACCTTTCCCAAAAGTGTTGAGCTTAAATTAGGGAGATGATTTTCTTTAATGGATTTTGTTTGTTCCATCTTGTATCGTTCGTGGCTATGTATTAAAGGACATCTAGCTACCAGTTTCTGTAGCTGAGGTCAGTGCTGCAGATGACTTTCCCACTCAATCCATAACTAACTTGATGGACCCTAGGGAAACTGTAATCAACCTGTTTACTATTTCACTTGGCCTTTCTGAATATCTAAATGTCCCAAAACTTGTCTGAATGGTCACTGATGTGCACAACTGGGTGCATGATGGTTGATTCCCCCTTTCCAATTCCTAATGGATTGTCTTAAATATCTACCGTATTTAAGGAGAATTTGTTTAAAGTTTGCTTACCACCAGCCATCCTATACGTGGAGTAAAAGTAGCACCCCAGTTTTCAGTGGCAAAACTTACACAAGCTGTAAAAAATTCTCCAAAAAAGCCAGATTCTGGGTTCCCTCACCCTTACTGAGCCATCTTGATGGACTGGAGGAATTTACCCACCTGTCAATCACCCAGTGTCACTGTGATGTCGTACAGCCCACTTTTCTTCTGTAGGTGTGAAAACAGTGTAAACTTCCCTTGAGTGAAGCCTGCCAATAAGAAATGAGCCCAGTTATAAAGTATTCTCAAGGGTACAAAATCACTGAGTACATTGTCCTGGATTAGGATTGTATTGGCATAGCATGAAACAACTTGCACATTTTAGACTTTCCCTCTCTTTTCTTTGTTAACCCAGAAGCAGAATGGCGCTGAGTTCTACGCAAGCTTTCTATATGCTGGTAAACAACAAGAGTTTAGCAAGCATGTCTCTAACGCTGGCAGAAGTCTACCAGGATTACAAAGATGAAGATGGGTTTGTGTACATGACTTATGCTTCCCAAGAGATGTTTGGAGGCCTCTTAGCCACTGGCAAGGGGAAATGTAAGGAATGTCTCAAGAAAACATAAGTGTTCTCTCGGGTGACAGCTATGTGGCTAGACAGCGCAGCTGTGAATCATGCGAGCTACCTGAAAATGAAAGGTGCTCTCTCTAAATGTGGGCTCCTCTCGAAGGATTCATGGTCCAGGAGTTGGCAGGACCCGACCAAAGAACCACGTGATGGAACAAACCATCCTAAATGAGTGACACGGACAAGTACTTTGTATTTCGCTCCTTTCCTGCCCAAAACAAGGTAGCAGGGGATGCACTTCAGTGTTTAAAATAATAATAATAATAAATGATGTAACTGCTTTTAAAGGTGGTGTTAAAACCACCACTGGAATACTTGCTTGCTTCCACCTGTGGTTGCATCTCGGTCCAAAAACAGGTATTTCTGGATGGTCAGCAAACAGCTCCTCTAAATGAGTAACTGTGGTCAGTTTTGAAATCCGTACAAATCTATGGCTATGTCATCATCATCTTTGAGGGGGCACACACACCAAAGGAAGAAGCTCACAAGTGCAGAGAATGCCCCCACTGGGTAAGACCAGTGAAAAATAAAGGGATTTTTAAAACCAGGTCACATGGTCTGGGCAGGAATGATCTGCTTAGCAGCTAAGAATAATGTATGCACTAAAGATTTTACTAACTGTTTCAGAGTTACTGTAGCACTCTTTTGATTCTAATCCGTGGTGTTGAGCACTGCAAAACACAGAGCCATAGCTGGCTTTTCTATGCCCCTGCTCTTGTCTACATATACCTCCAGGAGGAATACCCCTAAGGATGGATTTACATGATACTACACACACACAAATCCATGTGGAAGTGAGTTTTATTGAAAGGGCTGAGGCAATGGCATGTAATGGGCCTCTTTCAGGCAGCACTGCTGCACATGGATCCCACTGCGCAGTACTTGTAAAAAAAAGCAGGAGTTGGTAGGGTGAAATAGAGCTCTGGCCAGGTAGGGAGTTCAGGAGCACAGCTCTCCAAATGGAGATATGATCAGTATGTGAATATTTACTGCGCCATCTTGTGGCTGTTTAAATTGAGGGGTGGGGAACAGGCGTTTTAACTAACATTGGAGCTGAGACAGCAATCCTTGAAGCTCCAACAGTAGTTTTATCATGAGGCTGTGTTCTTGCCTTTTGAACTCTGTGCTGAGCTTTCTATATTTGGGTTTAAGATAAGATTGCTCCATAAAAAGGGCACCCTGTTAAAAACATGACTCCCGTCCGTAGCTAACAAAGTGCAAGGCAATTAGAAGCTCCTTGGTCCTTAAACCTTGTTGCTAAACTTAACCGCCTGAGCCTCTTGTGTCAATGTCATGTTTAAGATGGCCGCCTGTATCTCAAGGGAACTTAGCTGACTTGGGGACTCTCTTGAGTTGACAGGTCCTAGTCTCGCATAAGCCAGATGTCTTTAGAAGGGGTGCATCACAGACTATCAGAGTAAGAGACCAGGGATGGGGAACTTGCAGCCCCTCCCATATGACTTCCATCATTTCTGACTATTGATCAGTGGGAGTCAAATCATATCACTTGGTTAACAGGTCCCCACCACACCCTTGGAAAACACCTTCATGGCTCAAACAGTATTTTAAATAGGTATTCCCTGCAGTGTGGACAACAATTCCTCCTATATATGGCACACAACTTGGTTTAATGGACCGCTAGCTCTAAGAACCAGGAAAGGGCCTGGATTCTGTATACAGTATCACTACATTAAGTGGTGCTGAATTATCACTAGTTATGTAAATAAAGAAATATATATATTGCAGTATATCTGTTAGCTTTCCCCCCAAAAAAATAAATATGGATTTAGACTTGTTGAAGTGGAGTAGCAACCCCATCTTAAGATCAGTTTTCATCTACCAGTTACATCTCTCAAAAGCCATTCTCTGTTGGCATCCTTGATGTATGAGTCGTCCTTTATTTGTTTGTTTTAAGAAGCTGCTGTGCTGGCCTACCAGCGTTCCTGTTTGAAAAGAGAACCTTGGCAAATGTTAAGAGTATGTGCTGTCTAGTCTACATTTTATGATTCTGCCTGCAGCTGGTGTGTGTACTTGTACTGTATGTACTTCGTTGAAAGCCATTTTTTAAGGGGGGGTGGGACTTAAAAACAAACAAACCCATGGAGTTTTTGCCATTGCAGAGCTTAAGGCAACATCACCTGTTTAGCAACAGCAGCATTCTTGTGTCTTTTCCGATGTCACTGCTGGCCAGGGGCAGAGGAAGGGGGGGGCGGGTTGACCCGGGTGTCACCACTGAGGGGAGTGACAAAATGCCTTCCCCCCAGCTGTAGGGCGGCTGAGTGGGAGGAGGCAGGCAGACTCCTCGGAGACGGAGACCCTGCGGAATGTCCTGCCCCGGCTGACCCTGTGGGCGGCTGGCCCCACCCCTAGGCGCAGGCCATGTGCGCCGCCCCAGGCGCCCGATTGGCTGGCTCCACCGCTGCTGCCGGCGTATAAAAAGATGAAGAGTCAGAGTATCAGGAATGGATGGTAGTTTTCAAATACCTCCTGCAGGAGGCTTCTCACTTTCCAGCCATCTGCTTCTTGATATCCTGTATGAGAGACTTAAATGGACATGCTAAGCATTTAAAACTCTGGAGTAGTTACCTTACTCCTCTAAAGTACAGTGGTACCTCGGATTAAGAACTTAATTCGTTCCGCACAATTTCTGTTCTCATCCTGTTCTTAACCTGAGGCAAAGTTCTTAACCTGAGGTACTATTTCTGGGTTAGCAGAGTCTGTAACCTGAAGCGTCTGTAACCTGAGGTACCACTGTAAAGGGTTGAGACAATGGTGATGTCACTATGGGAAGGATGGACTGAAGGAGAATTAAAGCAACATGCCTAAACATCTCTTGTCTCTAATCATGTTTCTGGTTTCCTGTGAGTGAATGCAGTTTGATGTACAGTAAGCCTCACAACTTACGCGGGGATAAACAATACAGTGAGGAGGGGAGCCACCTGATATCAATAGGCAGAGAGTTCCAGAGTGCCACACTAAAATATTAATTTTGTACAAATGTGGAGCGGGAATTCTGTGGCCCCTGTAATGGTGCCAGTCCCACTGATTAAAATGGTCAAGTGGGTATATGTTTTGTTTGTTTGATTGTCTTCTGTACTTCCCTTCATCTGAGGATCACAGGGCAGTTTACAATAAAAAAACACAAAAATGCATACCATAGTAACAATGCGCCCCTCATCCAGTATATATGGAGTAAGGCAGGCTTCCTCAACCTCGGCACTCCAGATGTTTTGAGACTACAATTCCCAGCATCCCTGACCACTGGTCCTGCTAGCTAGGGATCATGGGAGTTGTAGGCCAAAAACGTCTGGAGGGCTGAGGTTGAGGAAGCCTGGAGTAAGGTCGTTGATAAAGATGTTGAATAAGACCGGGCCCAAGACAGAACCCTGTGGCACCCCACTAGTCACTCTATAGGTAAACTGGTCCCAAGTAGTTAAGGGTTGTATGTACTAATAGCAAACTGTTCATAGAATCATGGAGTTGGAATAGACCACAAGGGCCATCGAGTCCAACCCCCTGCCAAGCAGGAAACACCATCAGAGCACTCCTGACATATGGTTGTCAAGCCTCTGCTTAAAGACCTCCAAAGAAGGAGACTCCACCACACTCCTTGGCAGCAAATTCCACTGTCGAACAGCTCTTACTGTCAGGAAGTTCTTCCTAATGTTTAGGGGGAATCTTCTTTCTTGTAGTTTGGATCCATTGCTCCATGTCCGCTTCTCTGGAGCAGCAGAAAACAACCTTTCTCCCTCCTCTATATGACATCCTTTTATATATTTGAACATGGCTATCATATCACCCCTTAACCTCCTCTTCTCCAGGCTAAACATGCCCAGCTTCCTTAGCCGTTCCTCATAAGGCATCGTTTCCAGGCCTTTGACCATTTTGGTTGCCTTCCTCTGGACACGTTCCAGTTTGTCAGTGTCCTTCTTGAACTGTGGTGCCCAGAACTGGACACAGTACTCCAGGTGAGGTCTGACCAGAGCAGAATACAGTGGCACTATTACTTCCCTTGATCTAGATGCTATACTCCTATTGATGCAGCCCAGAATTGCATTGGCTTTTTTAGCTGCCGCGTCACACTGTTGGCTCATGTCAAGTTTGTGGTCAACCAAGACTCCTAGATCCTTTTCACATGTACTGCTCTCAAGCCAGGTGTCCCCCATCTTGTATTTGTGCCTCTCATTTTTTTTTGCCCAAGTGCAATACTTTACATTTCTCCCTGTTAAAGTTCATCTTGTTTGTTTTGGCCCAGTTCTCTAATCTGTCAAGGTCGTTTTGAAGTGTGATCCTGTCCTCTGGGGTGTTAGCCACCCCTCCCAGTTTGGTGTCATCTGAAAATTTGATCAGGATGCCCTTGAGTCCATCATCCAAGTCGTTGATAAAGATGTTGAATAAGACCGGGCCCAAGACAGAACCCTGTGGCACCCCACTAGTCACTCTTCTCCAGGATGAAGAGGAACCATTGATGAGCACCCTTTGGGTTAATTGTTAATTGAGGTGAATTGCTAATGCTGAAAGGGAAAGGCATGGGTCACTTTCTCCCAAACAATTGAGAGCAGTCAAATAATATTTTAGTGTGGATTGGCTGCTGGATTTATTAATGACCAAGAGCGGTTCTCTACTTTAAAATGATCAAAAATTGCAGAAAGGGAATAAAGAGTTACTGCACTTTCAAGAAATATAAATAAAACCAATGTTGTGATTATACGCAGGAATGAATGACTGAACACTGGCTTGGTCTGGACCTCCAGATGTATCCCTCTCCTGTCTTCCCTGTAAATGTACATCCAGTGTGCTAATAAAAATGGTCCAAAAAGACATACATCCCATGTAATAGAGATTAGAGATTAATATGTCCAGTTCTGGGCACACAAAGTTGATGTTGTCAAGCTGGAATGTATGCAGAGGAGGACAACCAAGATGATCAAGGGTTTGGAAACCAAGCTTTATGAGGAACGGTTGAAGGAGCTGGGTATGTTTAGTCTGGAAATGAGAGACAGAGGAGATACGATAACCATCGTCAAATATATAAAGGGCTTTCATAGAATCATAGAATCATAGAGTTGGAAGAGACCACAAGGGCCATCGAGTCCAACCCCCTGCCAAGCAGGAAACACCATCAGAGCACTCCTGACATATGGTTGTCAAGCCTCTGCTTAAAGACCTCCAAAGAAGGAGACTCCACCACACTCCTTGGCAGCAAATTCCACTGTCGAACAGCTCTTACTGTCAGGAAGTTCTTCCTAATGTTTAGGTGGAACCTTCTTTCTTGTAGTTTGGATCCATTGCTCCGTGTCCGGCTTTCACATAGAAGATGCATCCACCTGTTCTGGAAGGTAGGACCCAAAGCAATGGCTTCACGTTACAAGGAAGAAGATTCTGATCTGATTAAACATCAGGAAGAATTTGCTGACAGTAAGAGCTGTTCAACAGTGGAACTGCCCTGAGACCTCTGAGTATAGGGCGGTATGTACATTCATTCATTCAATAAATAATAATAATAGCAGTTGTGGACTCTCCTTCCTTGGAGGTTTTTAAGCAGAGGTTGGGTGGCGCTCTGTCATGGATGCTTTAGCTGAGATTCTGGCATTTCAGGGGGTTGGACTAGATGACCCTCAGAGTCCCTTCCAACTCTACAATTCTATGATTCTACAAATTGATTGACAGCAAGTTTGCGAGGCAACCTGAAAGCATCCCCCCCATGAATATGACTTAATAAAAAAAATCTGTCTTGCAACTGATCTCTCTAAGCGGAGGCCTGCTTTTTGTTGCCTCGGGCCCCTAAGGCATCCTGAAATAGGTGTAAAATGCTCCCATGATTACAGCCAGCATTTTACACTTAATTTGGCACAGCTGTTAATGTTTTTCAACAGCAGAAAAAGAGCCCAGGTTGTTTGGCCTTCCCTAGGCAGGGAGGGAGGTGTTCAGCTGCAATAAGTGAGTAATCATCCCTGCTTTGGGCCTCTCCAATAAGCAGGTCACAGAAAAAGTTTACAACACTTCTTGCCAAATCAGCTGGGCTGAATGATGATGACGACGACTTGTGTGGGCATAGGGTATTTTGTATTTGTTGGTCTGTAAAACCTGAGGCAGAGCATTGCTAAGTGAATATGCCTTACCTGCCTGTCCAACACAATTTGCAGGAAATTCCATCACAACAACTGCAAAATGGTAAGAGAATGTAGTAGGCATGTGTGTCTGTGTGTATGCCGGAGTCCTGCTTCTACTTTTAAGTAGCTAGGGCCAATTGCACATTCACTGCACAAATAAATAGAAAGTGTGGGCCAGAATCTGTAATGCTGATAATGCAATCCTGAAAATGACTGTGGTTCAGGAAAAGCAGACATGACTGTGTGCCACGTATTTTAACGTTTCCCTGCAAAAAATAAAGCCACATCAATCGAGAAGTGCGTAAGTCAATAATGAAAGGAAGACACACAGAATAATTCATGAATCTCAACTCTTAATAGTTCTTCAGCAGAAGCCTTGGCCCCACTGATAACCTTAAGCAGGCACTCCAAGCCCGCCCAACCCTCCAGCCGTCATTTCCTTGCAGTTTTACATCTATCCAGTGCTGTGCTTATCAGCTAATAACTGAAGAGCGGACTTACATTTTCCTTGCTTCTCGAAGGAGCATTTTTCCTCCCCCGATTCGCAAGTGGTGGTTTTCAATCAACAATCCTGCAGACGGTCCATCAAATGAGGGAGTATAATGTTCAAGATATCCTGGCTATGGGCAGAGGCGCACCTAGGCTCCCTTGTGCCCTTGGCAAGGAGGTATGTGAGAGACCATGGACCAGAAACTCAAAAAGTTTGCTTTCTGTCACCTTTTGCGCTCCACCAGTGACTTCCGGCTTCCCTCTCCTTGCTGCTTTCCCTCCTAGCCACTCTTGAGGCAGAGTAGAGAGGCACAATTTTGGCACCCCTATTTTGAAATATACTTTTAAGGTTGCTTTATTTTAAACATATTTGATATCTTTTTTAAGGACAGTTTTTTTCCTGCCTAAATGAAACACATCTGTTCTGAACACATTTGCTCAGAAGCAGTCTCATGGATTTTAGCAAGACTTACTCCTAAGCAAATGTTTCTGTCACTGCATAAATTTGCCCTTAGGCACGTAGATTCCATGTTGACTTTTATGAAAGGCTTTGCTCCCTAATGAGAATGGAAGGTGTTTTAGAGGCAAAGCAAAAATACATTTAAGAGTGCAACATAGATTACACCTCCTTGCCCCTTAATGATGCCGTAAACCCAGGAGAATTGGTCAAGGAATGTTTTTTAAAAAATCTAAAGCAAGGAATAAGATTATCTTTGCTGAGGTATATGAAGCTGTTAATATTTTACATGGTAACTGCTTATATAGCAGGTTTATGAGAGACACACGCAGATAGATATCTAATCTCTCTCCAGTTCTCAAAAACTTGTCTAGTACTATTCCATTGTTTACAGCTGATGGGTTTGTTATTTGTGATACCACCTGAACAACCTGGCAGTGGAAACTAAAGCACGACTGCAAGTCTATTAATACTTGTGTGGCATGATCTTCAAAAGCTTGTCTACATGGTAATAATGCTTCTAAACAATGGTGACACATGCATTAGTTATGTACAAACTGGATTATTGCAAGATGGTCTATATGGGGGGCTTCCGTTTAAGAGATTTCAGAAGCATCAGTTGGT